TAATTGGACAGGAACTGAGCAAACTGGCAGAGAGCCCCCAGGGCAGAGGGGCAAGGGTAAGATATTTTAACATTTATAATATGTTAACTGTTTATTTCATGTTTTATAATTTGGAATGTATTTCTTTGGGTTTAAAACCTGATATTGCTATTGCTGTTATGTGTGTATGTGTGTGTGTGTGTGAGAGAGAGAGAGAGAGAGAGTCAGAGTAAGACAGAGAGAAGGAAAACCCAAACCTTTCCTTCATTCTGATTATATCTTTTAAATATTTGTACTAATAACTCTACATTTAGAGCCTGTATATCTTTGGGCTTTATTGCATAGGGAAACCACACAATAGAATAATATCACAAACATCTTTATCTATTAGGATTCAAGAATTAAAATATGAATTTCGGTATTCCCTAAAGCATATTTATTGGAAAACTGTATTTCATGTGGTAGTGTTAGAGAATGGTTTGTCTACTTGTCTTTTGTGGCTTTAATTCTTCAATCCCACTTTAGAGTGAGTCCAAACCACTAGCCTTCCCCTTCTTCTTCTACAGCCATTCATACCTTGCTTTCTTGATTTTCCTTCCATTTTTACTTCTCTTCTCTTCTCATTCATTCATTCATTCATTCATTTATGAGATAAAGTCTCACTCTGTTGCCCCGGCTAGAGTGCTGTGGTGTCAGCCTAGCTCACAGCAACCTCTAACTCCTGGGCTCAAGCGATCCTCCTGCCTCAGCCTCCTAAGTAGCTGGGACTACAGGCATGCGCCACCATGCCCGGCTAATTTTTTCTATATACATTAGTTGGCCAATTAATTTCTTTCTATTTTTAGTAGAGACGGGGTCTTGTTCTTGGGCTCAGACTGGTTTCGAACTCCTGACCTTGAGCGATCCGCCCGCCTTGGCCTCCCAGAGTACGAGAATTACAGGCGTGAGCCACTGCACTGGCCTCTCCAATTTATTAATTCACAAGGCTTACAATAAGAAATCAAACTGCCAAGGAGAAAGGAATATATTTAATTTGGCTAGTCAAGCAGTCTCTTCCTAATAGGGAAACAAAACTAAACAAGAAAGTTCGTTGGTAAATATAGAATGATAGCAAAGAAAACCAAAAGCCTTGAAGGATGTTACCATCCATCCTTGTGGTTTTAATATCCAACCGTACTTTATGAATTACATTACCTTATCTACAATCAGCTCTTCCCTGAGTTCCAATTTTGTGTTCTGAAATGCTTCTTGGATTCTACTGCCTAGATAACGGTCATTTCAACTGCAACATGTCCAACACTGAACTAGTCTTGCCCCTAAATTTATGTATTTCTCAAAATCAGCAGCCATTTCTTTACTCCTCTCTTATTTACTTCATCTTAACTTTGTCTTTATGCAGTAAGACGGTAACTTCAGACAACTATAGTCTACCATAAGACTCTCTCCTTCAAAAGAATAAGTATGTTGGAAGGTCTTTGGTTGCAGTTTATGCTTAGAAAATGAAAGGCAAATACGATATCCACTGGAAATTTCATTAAAATAATCCTGTGGTTTCCCCAATTTCTCTCTAACATCAGTAAGCATTAGCAAACCAAATCCACTACTAATTATTTCCAAAGGGAAGAAAAGATCAAATCTGCCACTCCTCTAGGCAAAACATCTACTGATGTTTTCTGCCTGGGTTGATTGTGACTCATATGGTTCTCCCGAGCTCCTCTCCAGAGCAAAGCTCATTTCACCCATTCTTACCAGGGCTGCTCCCATCTTTTTCAGTGGTCACTTGTAAAGGCCCACTTGTGGCAACAACTGTATCAGCAACTTAATCATAATAACCCCAATAATAATATTTTTTACTACTCAACAATAGTGAGATTTTTACCCATTTCAGCTTCAGAATGACTGTGGGTATTGGTTTGGGGTAAAATGAAGGGGTAATGAGTTAAATAGTCCCAATGTAGTTACTTAGTGAACATACACACACACACACACACACACACACACACACACACACACACACACACACACACGACAGGCTGAGAAGGTAGGAGCCCATGTTTTAGCTTCCAGGTATGAAGGAGAGGAAGTTTCTGGCCTTTGGTCTTCCCAAAACAGTTTCTCCAACTTGGCATTACTGACATTTGGGTCCAGATAATTCTTTGTTGCTACAGTTGTCCTTTGCATTATAGGATATTTAGCAGAGTCCTTAGACTCTATCCACTTGATGCCAGTAGAAACCCCTATCCCTAGTGCGACAACCAAAAATGTCTCCAGACATTGCCAAATACCCGCTCAGGATGGGGCAGCAAAATGAGCCCCAGGTAAGAAGTGCTGTCACAGAGAGAAGCAGGGCCCTGTCTCATCTCATACTTCATACACACTGGATTTCAGAACAGAGGAAGATGCTGGGCATCTCCCTGTTGGCATCTATCAGAGGATAGCCTTCATTTTTCTGAACCAGCCTTACTGCAGGCTCATCAGTGCCCACTTAGACCCCCTTGTCTGGTATCAAAAAGAGTCCAATCTTAAATAAGTTCAGCTATAAATTAGAGAAACTTTCTCAAAGAGCAATGCCCTGTGTACATCTGGAGATATGGAACTAGGGTTTGAATAAGAAGGTGGGAATGATCCACAATAAAAGGTAGTCATTCACAATCAGTGAATTAATTAATTCAATTTTTAGAGGTTTATATTGACTCTAGACTCTTATAAAAAGAAAAGCTTGGGACTTACCAATTAATAATAATATACCCTCAGAAGTTATTACAATGGTTGGGAGAATATTAAACAGAATAACCTCTATTAATTTTATTAACCTCTGTAATTTTATTGGCAACAAATCCTTTTAAAGAAAAGTGGTATTTATTTCCAAGAGTAAGAGGCAACCTTAGCCCTTGGTATAGACATGATACCTCTGAGTACAGATGTGGTGAATCCTGGCAGATTCCACAGAACATGGAGCTATAAGGGGTCCCCTGGCTGTGTTTTAGTAACAGAACTGAGAATTGTAGGAAATAAACTGGAATTGTGGGAGAGACAAAAGACTTGTGGGCAGAGTGAATGTAGTCTCAGTGGAATCCTCCGCTGGTCCTATGGCAGCTCTGAAGGTAGATGGCCCTTTCCAGTTGTTCCCCTGAGGCTAGGGGCCTGGGCTTAAGTACCCTTGCACAGAAAACTCATAAACTGCCAACTTATCCAAGGAGGGAATGTGATTTTATATGAGGCAATCCTCTTAGGCAGAGGGCAATTCCTGGAGGCTCAGCTGAGAGCTGTTAGCCGCAACACTCCTAGGACCTAGGGAAATGGACTATGGGAGCCCTAAGAAGGGATCTGGGCATACTACAGTGATATAGAAAAATACACAGTTTTTATTAACACTTTAAGTAACAAGATCAAATTACCTTATTTTCAAAGTAGTCATGGGTAGTATTTTGAGACAGACACAACCATACACGACATAATTTATCTGTAATTTCTGACAGGTGGTCTCACTAATAACCTATCTAACAGAGGAAAATAAACTACCAAAGTATGATAAATAAACTCACAACACAACTGCCCTTTGTTTAATTAAAACACTGTACCTCACTTGTTATCTCTGAGTTTTCTCAGCCTTGGAAACATACCTGAGTGGACAGTAGGACTGCAAGCTTCCCCTGCTTCCTCAAGAAGAGAGTACCAGATGCCTCGGGCTATCAAGAAAAAAAAGAAGAAACTAATTTCTACTATCAATCTGCTACGTGAGAAACAGAAAAAGCCACACAGCAGCCTCACAGCTTCTTTTGTTATCAGTCCCCTGAAGCAGAGAAAAAAGCCATTTCTACCCTTTGAAAGGACCAAGCAACTTTCTTCGTGGCCCGACATTTCTTTCTTCCCTCTGTATGTCATGCCCCCCCCCTTTCTTTCTTTCTCAGGAAAATAAATAAACTTTTACTTTTGTATATCCTAGTCACCGTCTGAGAATTCTTTCTCCCCACGGGTATAGACTTCACACTTCAACAATTTCTATTAGTGCCACATATCGCTAACACTACTAGGATTTGTTGCCTACATTCCTGACAGAAGAAAAGGTTCAATTTCTGTTGGAGATGAACGAAAATACAGATATTCAAATCCACGCACCCAGTTAAGGAGGCCTGGGCAGCCAAAACCCTGTCTGACTCATTTTTGAATCTCCAGAGTCAGTCACAGGCTCTGGACACCTACTAATATTTCTTGAATCATTGCTATAATTAAAACCGACGGGATAACATTTAAAAAACATTTTTAAAAAAACCAATTTTAAAACTCCTCCATAGCGCCTCTCCCTCGCTGCTGCTTAAAGCATTTATAACAGAGAGCTTTACCCTAGGGAAGCCTGCGGAGCAGACAACTGTCCTGTCAGCTGGGTTTTGAAAAGGGCGCCCAGCCAGAGGGGCGGGGCCAGAAAGCGGGCCCTCACCGATGAGGGTTGAGGCGCGGAGGGGGTGGTACGCGCCCTCCATGATTGACGGGAAAACGCTCCTCTTCAGCCCGCGCCATCCTTCCGCGAGCCCGGAAGTCCCGCCTTCAAAAAAGGAAGTAGCGGCGCGTGCGAACGCCGGCTGTGACCGCGGCATAGCGGTGACCCAGTGCGGGGAAGGCGGCGGCGGCTTGAAGTCGCTGCCTCTCTGGGTTCTGGTTGGCAGTTTGAGGCGCGGAGCCGGCCGCCCGGAGCAGCCCGCGGGAGAAATCAGGTGTGGAAGGGCGGGCTGGCTGCGGCAAGTTTGGTCAGGGAACCGCGGGCGGGAGTAAGTGAAACTCTCAGGGACGTTGTGGGGAAGACTTTGGCAGCGCCTCGACCTCCACTGTCCCTTTCCTTCTTCCTCGAGTCCCCATTTCCTTGCCACATCCCTCTCCCCGACGCCCCAGCCCCTCGGTGAGACCCCAGGGACGGGGGTCAAGTCTGGGGTCAATGGGCCTCCTCTCCGCAAACCGATCGCCACGCCTAGGACCGTTTCCCCAGGAACCCTCTTTCTATGACGTGGTTTCTCAAGCCGCCTCACCTCAACCCCCAAATCTCCACTCCCTTAGAAACGTGCCCCCACAGGTTGGCGTAGATTTCACAGTATTTCCCAAAGGGGGCAATGTGTAAAAGTTGTTCCTCAGAGTGGGTAACCTGATAGGTAGGTTCCCATGGGATGACAAAGAGGAAGAAGGAGCGTTGGCCAGATTAAGAATAACAAGGGAATAGTCTGAATCCAGGCATTGGCATTAATCTGTCTCTCTTCTTTGGCAGGTGGGAATTTAGAACTGTTTGGAGTCAATACTGTGATTCCAGCCATGGGTTCATCTGCATCTACTCCTGCTGTTACAGTTACCTCAACTGCTTCAAATCATCAGACAGCATCCTCACCTTCAGGATGCCCAATGCATGAAGGGAAAATGAAAGGTAGTCAACCTTTGGCCTTGCAAAAAAACACAAGATAATTCCCAAAAGGTTTTTAAAGAAGACACAGAAGTATAAGGTGTTGGTGAGGCTCATAGGCTTGGGAGTGAGGCCCCCTGGGTCTGGTCCTAAGTCTCAGTCCATTATCTGTAAGATGAGGATATAATAATATTTCACAGGGCTAGTATGATGATTAGTTGAGATAATGCATGAGAACTTAGTGATTACTCTATAAATGAGCCCCATCTCCCTGAAGTTTCCTTGTGCCTACATCAATAGTTCTCAACTGGAGGGGCATTCCCTCCACCCCCTAGGGGACATTTGCTAATGTCTGGAGACATTTTTGGTTGTTACAACTGAGAGAAAAGGGAGCTACTGGCATTTAGTGGGTAGAGGCCAGGGATGCTGCTAAACATCCTACAGTGCACCGAATGGTCCCTGAGCAAAGAATCATCTCACCACAAATGTCAAGAGGGCCAAGGTTTAGAAACTTTGATGTAGATCTAGCTATCTTAATAAACTTTGCTCTGATATCCGTTGTAGTATTTTTCTATGTAAATATAAGCCATTGCCTAATGGACTTGTGGTCCATTCTTTAGGTAAAAAGGTGAAAATGGAAAAGCTATCTTTCATTTTTAATCGATGCATGTTCATATTAAAGTAGGGCTTGAATCAGTAAGTTGTGAGGGGCAGAAGCAATATGGTGTGCTTACTTGAGTACTAACACTTGCATTATAGTCATTCATTCCCTCAGCCAGCCAGCCCACTCGAAGAGGTCATTGCTCATTCTGTGCCGATCACCGCTGGATTTTGTTTGTTTCTTCATGGAGAGAATAGCAGTGTACCAAATAGACAAATCTTATTTTCCTGAGGGAGCTTACATTCTTGACTTTGTAATCCTGTGTGGTAGGTTTTCTCCCTATTTTATAGTCAAGGAAACTAAGGCTCAAAGTAATTTATATGCTCCAAGTCACATAGTAAGTGGCAAAGCCAGCAAAAATTCTGTGACATTGGACAAGGATAGATCCAGTGCTCTTCCACAGTTTCTTTGTACAGGAAGCATTGACACAGATCAGACAAAGCAGGTGTGGTCCTGTTTTGAGTGTCCCCAGGGGGATCATAGAGCCCTTTCTCTGGTTTTATTCATTTGCTGTGTCTCTTGGAGAGCTGTTAGACTTATTTATGTTAGTAAAGAGTGTGGGTAATTGTAAGAGATTGAAGTGGCCACTAGTTATATATTGTGAAAAATCTGAACAGTATTTTCTTTTCAACACCCAGCTGGGATCAGTGACCTGGAAAGGATTGATTGGTGCTTTGAATGGTATAGAGGGAAGGTATAGCAAAGTCTCCCTTCACTTCTAAAGTGAGCAGCTGCACAGAGTACTAGAAAGTGGGGGCTTAAGAGGAGAGGCATAGGGAAGAAAGTAAAAGGAAGCTCATCTTTGTCACATAGGGCACCCAGCATTCAGTGTACTCCTGTAGTTGCTGCTGTCTGAGAGGATTCCATTGGATAAACAGTTATCTTCCTGGGCTGCTTCTCAGTCCCCACACTTGCTGGGATCAGCACTCTGGATCCTTGGGTGATGACTATTGTTCATCTTATTAGGCTCAGACCTTCCCTCATAAGAAGCATCTGGATCCCACATGGGTTGTGGAACATTTTCTTTAATGCCTGCCTTTTCTTGGAACCTCTTACTGTCTTCTGATGGGGAATATCACCTAGGCCAAGTGGTAGTTATTTTCTCTTTTAAAGATGGGGTCTTGCCATGCTGCCCAGGCTGGAGTGCAATGACTATTTACAGGCATGATCATAGCTCATCGTACCCTAGGACTCCTGGCTCCGTGGATCCTCCCGCCTCAGCCTCCCAAGTAGCTGGGACAACAGGTGTGAACCACTGTGTCTGGCTAAATGGTAGTTTTCTGTGGTTTGTTTCAGTCTCGGGACAAATCATAAGCAGAATGGCACTCAATTTTGTCTCCAGAAGCTTTTGTGAAGTTTCCTCTGCTCATTTTCTTCTCTTGTCGCTAGTACCTGAGAAAATGCATCGATAACAAAAGTCTAGACTGTAGCTGTGTCCTGACTGGGGCTAGGCTTGTCTGGAACTAGTGAATGGAAAGTCAAGGAGACCCCATGAAATGTGTCCTGGTCCCTGCTTAGGTTCCCCTGACAACTCCCAGTTGCTAATCCAACCAGGTACCTTCTAGCTTGTTACTAAAACCATGGCGTGGACAATACATGCTCTTGCAACTGCTAAGATTTCTTTGGTTTATTTTTGCTGGAGGCATGAGACAATTAGAGAATGGGTACCTGTTTCTCTTTCAAAGGGAAAGTAAATTTATAGAACTTTCTCCTCATCTTTAAGACTTTGGAATATTAGCTAGCTTAACTCAGTTAGATTTAAGCAGAAGAAACCTATCTTTTCCTATGTGGTAATCATTGATCAGAAATTCAACTTTTTAGGGCCTTTGTGGTGACACCATTCTTATACTTTCATTTCAGGCTGTCCAGTGAGCGCAGAACCATCTGACCGAACCTGTGAGAACAAAACATACTGTGTGCCTGCCCACCAGGAACGCGCTTATGAGTATGTGGAGTGTCCTGTTACGGGTGCTGCAGTTGACAATAAGGAGAAGCTAGATCCTTCAAATCTGGTAATCAATGATCATCCCTTCTTTTAAAGCTTTCTGTGCAGAGATGCTTGTACAGACTCCCAAGAAAAAATGTAGACTTCTAGGATGGACTCTTCTGTCCTTTAAAACAAAGAAGTTTAATATTCCGTTCACAGTGAAAATCCAGAATATGTTACTAAGTATAGTTTCAGGAAGTGCCTGGGAAAGAAAACAGTGATTACGAAGAGCCAGAATAAGTTTACTGGCAGTAAGCCATGCCAAACGAATATTTTCTTTTGGGAGAGAGTTACTAGGTGGTAGATGGAAAATTCCCTAAGAACTGTAACTAGTATTAGTAAAGGTGATTTTGGTTTGGTAAAACCTTGTAGGTACATTACAAGATTGGGGGACTTCTTCAGGCACAATTGGGTGCTAGCCTGCACATGAGTCACTGGGCTGGTTGTCCCACGGCTGCTATTGAATTTAATGCTGTCAAGAAGTGAGGACAAGGTAGATATGGCTTCACTCTATTTTGTGATAGACAACATTGGGGATTATGGTCTCATGTTTGTAATCACATTTTAACAGAGAAACAGACTCGGGCCTGTACTTTAGAGGGCCACGGGATTATCGAGGGTAGAAATTTTAGTGAATCAGGCAACATCTGAAGGAACTAGAAATATTTATCCTGGGAAAGAAAGAATGTGTGGGATCCAATAGCAGCATCCACTTCAGGAATGGGCAAACTATGACCCACTGCCTGTTTTTGAAAATAAAGTTTCAGGCACTACACCAAGATCATCTTCCACACAGGCTGTCACCTATTTGGACCTGGGGTCATCAGCACACTGCTTCTGTAAAGGGCCAGATAGTAAATGTTTTTGGTTTTGTGGGCCATATAGTCTCTGTCACACTACTCAGCTCTGTTGCTGCTTTCTCTGTGGCATGAAAGCAGTGACAGGCAACATTGCCAGAAGCGCCCCGGGAGACCACTGGTGTAGATTATGTCTAATAGCCTAGTGGTTCAGAACATGGGCCCTTCAGAATCTAACAGACCTAGACTCTTACCCCATGAAAACATTATGTGTAATGAGAATATTTATCACAGCTAACTTTTCTTTTGATCACTTTTGTAGCATTTGAGCTAAGCACCCTGCTTGCTCTCCTTTAATCCTTATGACAACTCTTTGCAGCCAGCATTGTTAGTGTCCCCATTTTAGAGCTAAAGGCCAGTGATTCCTAACCTGGGATGATTTTAGCCCCTAGGCAGTCATCCTCCTAAACATCCTACAATGCTTAGAACAGACCCATGTAACTAAAAGTTGTCTAGCCCCAGTGTCAATAGAACCAAGGATGAGAGACCCTGACCTGGGCTAGGTGTTACCATAACAGTATTGCTGACCCATATGTCTGGGACAAGAGATTCTTCATACCTTCTGGTCTGGCAGCATTGAGATGCAGATACTCATCTACAATGTATTCAACCCAAAGAATGAAAGCATTAGCTTTCAGGAACCTAAAAGTCAAGAATGTTTAAAAAGAAAGTGATGTTGTGTATGTATTCTATGAGACTTTTCCTCAGAGTGAGTAGTCATTTTTGAAGAGCTTGTCACAAAAAGGGTTTTAGAAATGTCTGCAGATCATAGTATTAACTTTTACTTCTTATTTCTTGGTGACATTACTTCTAAATTTGTTCAAAAGAGGAGGAGACCAAAAGTTTAACCACAATGTTTATTTACTATTTATGAGAACTTAACAAGGAAAAACAATTTCAGTATTCTTACTCTATAACCAAATTGTGTTCCCTTTGGCAGCACATATATTAAAATTGGAATAATATAGAGAAGGTTAACATGTCCCCTGTCCAAGGTTGGCATGAAAATTTGTGAAATATTCCGTATTTTTCCCAACTACACTGATTTGATCTTTACAAATTATATAAATGTATTAAATTATCACATGTACTCGAAAACAATACACATTTATTATGCATCAATAAAAAAAAAACAACAGCGGCCAAATTATCTGAGAAGTCTGAAATTTTTCTGTCACTGGTTTAATCAGTAACCTGTGCTTTGTGTGTGGTGCATTGCTTTCCAGGAAGTAGTTAATTATATTGCTTGTTTTGACTTTATATCATATGTCCAGCATTTAAAAAGCAAATCTGCTTATTTTATTTAGATGCCACCACCTAATCAAACTCCTGCTCCAGATCAGCCGTTTGCATTGTCTACTGCCAGAGAGGAGTCATCTATTCCGAGAGCAGATTCAGAGAAAAAATGGGTTTATCCTTCTGAGCAGATGTTCTGGAATGCAATGTTAAGGAAAGGGTGAGTGAGCATATTGTTTAGAATGTAAATTTGCTTGTCAAATGTATCTAAGAATGTTAAAAATGTTTTCACCCTCCAAACATACAGAAAGCTTTTATGAGTTAATCAGTTTATAATACTCAACTGATTTTTCAGACCTATCAGAATATAAGTGCAAGGCCAGTATTTTAGTCAGGGTTGTCCAGAGAAATGGAACCAATAGAATGTATGTGTGTATTGCAGGGAGGGCTGGAAGGAATTTATAATAAGAAATCGACTCACAATTATGGAAGCTAACAAGCCCCAAGATCTGCAGCCAGCAAGCTACAGACACAAGAGAGCTAATAGTATAGTTCTAGTCCAAGTCTGAAGGCCTGAGAACCAGAGAGCTGATGGTATAAGTTCTAGTCTGAAAGCCAGCAGGCTGGAGACCCAAGAAGAGCCGATGTTTCAGTTTAAGTCCAAAGACAGAAAAAGACTGATGTCCCAGCTCAAAGAGTCATGTAGAAGGAGTTCCCTCTTAACTCGTGGAAGGGTCATCCTTTTTGTTTCATTCAGGCCTACAACTGATTGGATGCGACTCACCCACATGGAGCGGGGAGGGTAATCTGCTTTATTCAGTCTATGGATTGAAATGTTCATTTTGTTCAAAAACACCCTCACAGACGCACCCAGAATAATTTTTGACCAAATGTCTGGGTATCCTGAGGCCCAGGGTGAAACATAAAATTATCCATCATGGCCAGTAATAGGCTTTAAAAAAAAACACTCTTATATAAAATGCTTAGAAAAAAGTTAGGAAATCATTAATTAATGGTAATAACTGAACAAGTGTCACCTTAAAAATAGATGGTTCTGTAAGTCTGGTATTTTGTGACTTAGTAAAATCAGATTAAGGTGAAATTTTAATCTTTGTTTTTAGTATTTATATAATAGCTTTGGATTTTTTATGGTGATACTTCACAATCATGGGTAAATCTTTAAAATGAGTCTTAAATCTGTTAAATTCAGAGAAAATGAGCATTCTTAGTTCTTTCATAAAGGATAATATTTAATAAATCATGAATATGTGGATTAACTTTATGACATTATCAGTAATATTTGCCAAATTTTACCAAATGTTCTTTCATAGGTGGAAGTGGAAGGATGAGGATATTAGCCAGAAAGATATGTATAATATCATTAGAATTCACAATCAGAATAATGAGCAGGCTTGGAAGGAGATATTGAAGTGGGAAGCCCTCCATGCTGCGTAAGTATGTTTGAGATCTTAAAAAAATATCCAACATCTTTCTTATATCACTTTTTTAGAATTTTAACATTTTATTCAAATAATTAGTTATTCTAATAAAACATTTTATGTAGCAGGCATGTCCCAGACTATTGTTGCATGACAGACTGCCCCTTCTTAGTTATGTAAAAAAGAGTAACTATTTTATTAGGCTTGTGAATTCGGTGGGTCTACAGTGGAAAGGACAGAGCAGGGATGGTTCATCTCTGTTCCCAGATGTCTGGGGCCTTGGCTACAGAGACTCAGTGGTCAGGATGGCTTCAGAGCCTTGGGATAGAGTCCTCTGAAGGCTCCATTGTTTACTCATCTGGCCAGTGGTGCCAGCTGTCGGCCAGATCACCTGTCCACAGCCTCTGAATATGGCTGCTTTGGCTTCCTCGCATCATGGTGGCTGGGTTCCAAGAGCTAGAGTTCCAGAGAGCCCCAGGCGGAAGCTGTATCTCCTTTTCTGGGCTAGCCTGGCAGTCCCATAGCATCAGGAGCCTGCCCAGATTACAGGGGAGTGGACAGAGACCCCACCTCTCAGCAGGAGGAGTATCACAGTCCATTGAAAGTAGAGCATGTGGGAACAGAGATACTAAAATGTTATCTGCCTCAAAGAAGATAGGAAAGACATTTCTGTTCTCTCAGCAGCATTTATTGAATCTCCATTATGACTAAACATGAAGTGATCTCATCAGACAGGGCCATTTTTCTCAGGGAGAGTAGGTAAATGCAGTCATGTGTGTTAACAGTGATAGGACCTTAGTCTGTTTTGAGTGTACATCAGCATCATCTGGATGGTTTGTTAAAAGCCTGCATGCTGGGTTCCAACCCCAGAGTGTCTAGCTTAATCTGTCCGGGATGGGGTACAAGCTCATGTTTTAGAGTAATGCTGGTGCTGCTGGTTTGTGGAGTCCTCTTCGTGAAGTGTAAGGGCAGCGCATGTCTGCACAAAGAGCCAGATTATATCATAATTAGTCGTTACATTTCAAATACATTGTGAAATGTGATTGATTAATTTCTTGGCTAAAATTCACTTAATAATTTTTTGAGGTGTTCTTTTTTTTTTTTTAATATTTGCACTCTGAAGTTAATTAGTAGCACTCTCTGGGTGTTACTGCCTGGGCTCTGGGTCAGGGATGGGTGCATGTGATGGGGGAATTATAATAATCATAATGATAGTATAATAATAATAATAGTAATCCATGGCCTGCAGGAGTCACCTTCCCAGATTTCTCATGAGAGGAGCCACCGAGTCTGCAGTGACTCAGGTTGAAAGTGTGCTCTAATTAAGACCACCTGCTAAATACTTGCGTGACTATGGCGGAAAGAGAGAAAAGACAATTTTGGTTTGTCAGTTTTAGCTTCCTCTTCAGTCATTTTCCAGAGTTCTGTCAAAATTAGGCCTTTTTAAAACTCATACTATGCTCTCTAGGAGAAAGTTTGGCTGGATTGAGTTTGCTGCTTTGCATGTGACCCTTTTGAGAAGAGGTGCTAAGGAGAAGTTCCTAAAAGGAGAAGTAAAGTAACTCATAAGTCCTCAAGTATGGGTCTTTTTTTCTCCCTTCCACTTCGTTAGAGAGATACATCAAGACCAAAGCCTGTTTTGTCAATGAGAGCAGTTGACAAGATAGGTGGCCGCTGTCTTGATTGGCACCCCTTCTGTTGGGGAAACAGTTGTCTGTCTAGCATGTGGATGGACTGCAAGCTCCATGAGGGCAGGACTTGAAGGCTTTATTGGCACTGCCACTCCCTGTGTCCACAGAGAGCTGGCCCTAGGGGGCCCTCTGCAAGGATCTGCAGGCAGAAGGTGTGTGTTTGCTAGTTAGTACTTTGTCACCCTCAGCTTGTGTGTAGTTATTAAGGAGCTGGTCCAGCACTAATTATAATTGGTTCCTAGGGATTAATCCATCATTTTTCTTTCTTAAAGGCTGTTCATTGGTTTGAAATGAAAGAAGAGCATATTATTTTCTTAGGTTTGTCTGAAAAAAATCTCAGCTACTCTCTGTCAAAGAGAAGTATGAAATGCAATACTTGAGGCTTCTTTATGTCCCCCCTCTGAGAATGCTCCTGTCCTCCTGCACCAAATAGAAAACCCCTGTTTGCGAACTCCTGAAAGGAACAGTGCACATGTCTGGAAGAAACGGAAGAGAGTGGAACATACCCAGTCCAAAAGGAAAGAGGAACATTTTTTTAACAAAAAGGAACTTGTTCTTAGAATTATTTTAGAAGTTACTTTTCTCTCTGTAAATGTAATATTATGCAAAATGCATACAGAAAACTATATATTACTGAAAAACTGGAACATAGTCTTTGTCAAAGGAAAGAAAATATTTTAACACTTATTTGGGAATTTCTAGGGAATGTCCTTGTGGTCCATCGTTGATCCGGTTTGGAGGGAAAGCAAAAGAGTATTCACCAAGGGCAAGAATTCGTTCCTGGATGGGGTGAGTGTCAGTGCAGAAGTGTTACTTCATATTCCTCAGGTCAGGACCAACTTTCTTTTGGCACCCAAACCAGTCTAAGAAATGCAGTTCCATCTCCCAAAACTTTATCAGTATTCAGCTGTAGATTTCATCCTCTCTGAGGTTTGCCCATCGATGGACAGATGGGGTGAAGTAGCTTGCTTTTTATTTAATTATTATAGGGTCAAATTACATTGTCTTCTGTATTCTTGGACCTGTCCTCTTACTCCTCCCATGATTAAGCTCTTTGGGTCTATGCACTTAGTGTTCCTCCCCATCTCTTCTAGCCTAGTTCAGATTCTTAACTCACACCTGCATTTCTGTAATATCTCAGCTGACCTCCCTGGTCTTGGTCTCTTTCCTATTGACCTCATTCCTCTGTAGACAGATGGGCTGTCATCTGATCTGGACTCGTTACAGTTCTTCAGCACCATCTTCCCTTAGCCCTCTACACTGTGTGATTCTCTGAGTCTCACCCCCACACCCCAATTAGATATTTGACTGAGAGCAGGCATTTGCACATGCTTCTTTTGTATCTTTCTCAGTGCTTAAACCAGGACCAAACTCACAACAAGCATTTTAACATTCACTAGCACGTTTTCATTCCAGATATGAGTTGCCTTTCGATAGGCATGATTGGATCATCAACCGTTGTGGGACAGAAGTGAGATATGTGATCGATTACTATGACGGTGGTGAAGTGGACAAGGACTACCAGTTCACCATCCTGGATGTCCGTCCCGCCTTGGATTCATTTTCGGCAGTATGGGACAGGATGAAGGTTGCTTGGTGGCGCTGGACCTCATAACCACTGTTTTGCTTGAGATGGAAAAATAAAAACTATTTTTTTCTGAGAGATAACATTAAACTATTTTCCCCAAACTGAATTGCACTTATGATGTAATGGGAACTTCAAGTGGGTAATCACACTTTATCCTTCACTTAGCAAAGGATACCGTGTACCATTCACTTTTGCGTTGCAATTGAACCTTGCAGTTTAGAGCAGATCATTTTAAGTTTTCGTCTCACTTAGCTTGAGTGGGAATCAGTCTCAGTTTTTCCTTTAACTGCGGTATTGTCTGTCTATTTCATCTAGAAAAGTCTGAACAACCTCTGAAAAAGAGCTTTTAAAATGTATGAAAGCTACTCTTTTTCTCACTGTTTTCTCAGGAATACTTGAGATATAAAACCTGAAAGCCAGTGGTGGTGCTCAGGAGCTTTCACCTTATCAAATATTTTAACTAAAACTGTTAATTATAAATAAGAGATAGGCTTTAAAAAATGTCATCAGTATTTCTAAAGCCCCTACAGTATGGTAGTGACCCTGAACACCAGGCAGATATATACACTGGAAAGGCACTCAGCAAAAGACTTGTCCTGGCTCTCCAATTCCTCATTTATATGAATTTTTCAGACTGGGCCTTGTTATAAGTATTTTCAGCTACACCATTATTTGATGCATGTGCTTTGGAACATAAGTTTTAAAATACTTTTTAAAGTTCCTCTTCTAATATGTACAACAAATAGGTCTCTTTGTCCCTGGTGTTTGACAAGGTCTCCCAATGTTGAATCTCTTTTCCTTCTACAGGGAGCCTTCTACAGTCAGCCTAATCCAAACCTTGAAAGCCTGGCTCATGTCACGGTGCTAGTATCGTCCCCCTATAAAACATGATTATATTGCACTGAGTGTTAAAATTCACAAAAAGATTGTTTTTCTCAGATGTAGAATGTTTGCATCAATTCACTGTCTGTAGATGTTTTTGTTTTAAGAAAACTCTGAGTTTGCTGTTGAAATTCTTTATGGCAGTAATACATAAACTGGTTCTAATTATAGCAGCATGTTACAAATGATTTGTTTTTTGATAATATTAATAAATCCTTTATCCTGAATCCTGTAGTATTTAGTGGATGGAATTGGCAGTCTGTGAGTGAGTGAGAGCTGGTATGGATTTCTTTGTTGCGTGAAATCCAGCAACCTTAAACTCTACATTTCAAAGTACTTGTATATTTTAAAATAAAGCTGATCATTAACAGGTTTTGAAAATCTTGTTAGAGTAACTTTATACATAATGATCATTTCTTCAGATACTTCATCTTTACAAAAGTAGTGCTATCATCTCCCTACTTGCAGTATTTTCTCATCTGTTAATATTTTTAAACTGTAGAAAATAATTACTATTAGCTTTTTTTCTTGATTCTAAGTTCTATCAAATGAGTGTAGGATAAGGCATTCTTATGAGAAACAAAGCATTGCAGCTGGAAACTGAAAATTAAGCTATAGTCAGGATTCACTTCTTTTATAGAGCTGGCGTATTAATTGAGACAACCTGAAAGTAAATTCAAGCAAGCTTGATGACAAGAACAACTGTTTTATACATCTTTTCACTACTTCCAGAAAAGATTAGCCTCTTAGATACTCAGAGATGCTTTGTGTTTACACTTAATCATGTCCAGGGATCAATACCGATTTCATGTATAACTTAAAATTCATTTAGGATATTCTTCATGTTTTTTTTTTTTTTTTTTGAGACAGAGTCTCGCTTTGTTGCCCAGGCTAGAGTGAGTGCCGTGGCGTCAGCCTAGCTCACAGCAACCTCAAACTCCTGGGCTCGAGTGATCCTTCTGCCTCAGCCTCCCGGGTAGCTGGGACTACAGGCATGCGCCACCATGCCCGGCTAATTTTTTTTTATATATATATCAGTTGGCCAATTAATTTCTTTCTATTTATAGTAGAGACGGGGTCTCGCTCTTGCTCAGGCTGGTTTTGAACTCCTGACCTTGAGCAATCCGCCCGCCTCGGCCTCCCAAGAGCTAGGATTACAGGCGTGAGCCACAGCGCCCGGCCAAGCTTCATCATGTTTTTAAACTAAGTTTTGTTTCTAGCACTATTCAAAAGTATATCAGGCTATTAGATGAGATGGGTGTTCAAACTGGGATTGCATATTACTATTTAGTCTTCCTGTGAGTTCACTAGCTAAGGGTCATGAAAGATTTATATCTGTTCATTTTGTGCATCACACCAGAAATACAAAATTGCAAAAGATACAACCCCTACCTGCAAGGAACTCAGTCTTACGGAGGGCGGTCTCTAAATGAAATGGTGGTGCTAGAACTCCAATTTAAAGAACACATGGGGTGTGAGTTCACATAAGTATTTTTGAATATGTAGAGATATGTATTTCAAATTCTTTACTGAGTCACCAATATGGCTTATCCTCTACCAGAATTATTGCTCCCTAGGGAAAGTGAAGCCATCCACATTTCCTGTCTCACCTTTGCAGTGACTGAGTTGTATGATTGGTCCTTCGTGTAGCCATAGGCCTGAACCTGTGTGGTGATTAGGAATGCATGTCCTGGAGGTGGAGAGCTTGTTTGGAATCCTTGCTCTGCCCCTTACTTGCTGTAGGATCTTAATATCTCTGGGCCTCAGCTTTCTTGGCTGTAGAATGGGAATAATAGAACTGGCCCAGCAGAGTTGTTTTAAGGGTACTATGAGATGATGCCTGGAAGCACTGAGAACAGAGCCCGCAGGTGGGAGATGCTCAGGCAGTATTCGATGTCACCTCATGATTGGTAACAACAGGGAAAGAAAAATGCTGAGACCTAATCCATAGTCTACATCCTTTGCCCTTACTCCTCCTGAGAAGGATCTGTTTAGAGGAGTAATGGCAGGCTCTATTCCTGGTTTTGGTACATTCTAAGGATTACCAGGTATTTGAGTGCTTGCTCTAAAGCAAACTCATGTAATTTAAAATCACTAAAGGGGGAAAAAAATCCCAGGTTACAGTCTTTTATCTTTCAAAAGATAAAATCATGGCAGGGTAACATTTGGTTTACTTAATCTCTAAGTCCCACTTGACAGAAATAAAGATTATATTATAAGCTCTTGTGCTTCCTAATCTAAAATATAGTTCATTGTGTCTTTTGGATCACAAAGATACCCCCCTCCATGAAAATTTATTACATATCTAGATTTAAAACAGATATTACTGTATGTTAACTGCAAATAAAAAAAGTATCAAAAAATATTTCAAAAACCATACATATAGTCCTTGTAACTTAAGGTAACATGTTAAAAAATATACAATTTCTTGTGCATACAGTATATTGAAGTGTATCAATCATCCCTTTCTCCACTTATGACATGAATAATACATATATTACTGCAGTGGAGGTTAAGTCACTGTACCTTAAATAAAATTCCATGCCATCAATATAAGTGGTAAAGCATCTATTTCACGCTCGTGGACTCCCCAGCTTTGAAGAACAAACTGGCAGCACTTTCTCCCAACTATTTAACTTGGGGCTCATATATCACATAGCAAGTATTCCAATGTTTTTGTGGACTCATACCAGATGCTGGAGCAGACATACAATTCCTAAGACTACTTTCTTCTCCTTGGGGAGTCTATATCTAGTGGGAGAGAAGGCGTGTACACATGGGTGCTATCTCATAATTAGCTTTTAATTAATACTTTTGCATACCCAAGGTCATATGTGATTGGGGCCACAGAAATGTTAAGTGTTGATTGGTGTAATAATAGGACTTGTGAGACGAGAGAAAGCTTCACGATCATAGGCCAGTGGAGTCCTGAAAGATGATGAAAGGTTACTGTTACATTTTGGAGCTCTATGCAGAATCATCAATCATTTAAATATTTGGCTATTCCTTCTACATTTGGGATAACAATGTGACTAATTCCCATGGCCCATCAATGGTTTATCAGGATGCTTTTGGCTCCAAGTAACTGGCTCCCTGCTCAAACTCAGCCAGAAGTGCTGATGTTGGGTGTGCACCTGGTCAATTCTACTTCTCTGGACTCCATTTCCTTTCATGTTCAATTTCAACTTCATCCTTATAGGGCTGGTTCCTTTCATCAGTCTCACTTGGCTCCTAGTTGCTGTCTCAGCTTTATGACCCTTGTTCATGGCCAGAAGATTTAAGGTGGAGTGGGAGGGGGCTGTCTACCACTACCATGAGGAATAAGGTTTCTCTTCAATCTAATTGAGCCAATTTAGCATGGGACTTCCTGCTACTCCTCCCATCATGCATTTCCAGGGGAGCCTCACACTTAGATTAGCTCAAATTGTCAGGAGGAAATGTAGTATCCACGAGAGGATTCCTTCACTGTTAATTTAAAATCCCATCCTTAGTCATCATTTCATTGAGGTCTTTTTCCTTCATTGGGGCCACTTGCTTAGGCTGGGGTTTTAAATCTGGAGGTGGTGCCTAGTGTAATGGCAGAAGACGGGATTGGAGAGCTTCATTGTTGGGCTGATTCCCTGCATTAAGCTGGGGGATTTGGGAGAAGTCACCCTAGGTCTGTAAATCTCACTTTCCTCAAATTATCTCAAAGAGTTCTTTCAGATCAAAATGTCTATGTGTTTTATGTGGCCTCATGTTAGGATGGACTGGGCTGTGTCATGTTTTAGGTTGAGAATCTTTAAGCTAAGGGAAAATAGGTGGTTTGAAAGCCTATTTCAAACTAGTTTTTACATAAAGTACATCAGTAGACAACACTCATGAAAGACCTACACTTAAGCTAATTCTGAGTTTACCAGTGCTTTCCTTCCCCTCTGTAAAAAGTGATGGCTTGGAAGCAACTCAAATATCTGCCAGTTAATGAGTGGATTAACAAACTGTGCTGTATCCAAGCAATGGACTATTACTCAGCCATAAAGATGAATGAAGTACCAATGTATGCTATAACACAAACACACCTTGCAAACATTTTGCTAGGTGAAAGAAGCCAGACACAAAGGGCTACATTTTATATGATTCCATTTATACGAAAGACCCAGAATAGGCAAATTTATAGAGACAGAAAGTAGATTAGTGGTTGCCAAAGCTGAAGAGAGAGGGAGGATTGGGGAGTGTCAGC